AATGCGATTTCCGCATACCTTTACCGTTTTCATTTCTTTTAATAAGGGTTTTATTATTCTGGATGCATGTTTTTTATCGTCGATAAAAAGATATTATTTTGTTCTTGTGGGCGCATCTCCAAGCTATGTTGGCGTGTGTAAGATAACAATGTATAAAAAAAAAGTAAAGAATGTTTAAATTTTTTTAAGATAATAGGGGTCTAGCTTTATAAAGTAACCAAGATTTATAAATATTTTAATGTTGATGGCCTATATGTGAACTGTTCATGAAACTATTTTGTAAACAAGTACTCCAAGAAATTAAATTGTTTAAGCTCTTTTAAATTTTTTAAATTGATATTTAGTAAGGAAAGGGCCTTTTCTTTGCTGCATCAAAATAAAATATGTTTAGTTTTTTAATGAGCATTTTTTTAGCATTGAACCATGAGTCGTTAAAGCTCATAGTTGACTCAAAAAGGTCATTGGTAGAAGTAGGTAAGTAAAACAGAATTGTATTATTATTTGTAGATTATATTTTTCAGAACCTTGGAAAGTACTGAAGTGTTGAGATGAGGTTTACAATTGGTTAGCAATACAGTGTCTCAAATTTTAAATATTGTTGAATTATTCGCTTTTTTTTTATTTGTCTAGGGCAAACTGTTTGAAAATTATCAAAAAAATTTTACGTAATAAATTTTTTCGTCATTGTAGGTTTTAATAAAAACCTGGTTCAAATTGTTAGAAAATTAAATATTACTATCACGTGGTCTGTAGTTATAAAATATTACTATCACGCGGCCTGTAGTTATTAAAATGTTTTTTTTGTTTATAATTAATTCAATTGTTAAAACCTTTTTGTCATTAGAAAATGAAAAGTTGTTTCTAATTCCTATATATTTCCTCCTTCTCACTGGTTTCTAATTCCTATATATAATATATTTTCTCTTTCTTATTTGTTTCTAATTATTATATATAATATATTTCCTCTTTCTCATTCCTATATATAATATATTTCTTCCTTATAATATACTTCCTCTTTCTAATTCCTATATATAATATATATCCTCCTTCTCACTTGGACATAATGTTCAGCAGGTGTACCATAGTAATATAATAAGCGGTAAAAATTGTATAAAGAGGATAGAGATTGTGGTTTGGGTTGATAAAGACTCAAAAAATATTAAGGGGACTTTAAAAGCTAAATAAAATGGTAGAATATATTAAAATAAACAATCTTTTGAAACTCTTATTTTTTTTTAATAACTTTAGATTTTCTGCAGCTGGTTTTTGCGACTAAGGACCGGCGAAGTCGACTTTTTAAGGCTCGAATTTAAATGAAAGACGAATTTAGATCATATGAGTATACCGAATTTAACAGAAAGACGAACTTAAGCCGTAAACGTAGTCCGAATTTAACTGAAAGACGAACTTAAGCCGTAAACGTAGTCCGAATTTAACTGAAAGACGAATTTAGACTTTTATACCGAATTTAACTGAAAGCCAAATTAGAATTTTAAAAATTTTTTTAAGAACTTTTATAAGTTTTATAAAAAATTGTTTTTATAACACTCATAAAAAAGTTTTTGCGTCAAATGTTCAGGAAGACCTAACAGTTTTGCTGTGGAGTATATCAGAAAAGTATTAAACTAGGAAGTTCAAACCTTATTGCTTGAACGAAGGTTTGAAGCTTGCTTCGAACCCTCGGTCTCTTGCTTCTAAAGCAAGCGCTCTAATCACTCCACGTGGTTGCAGCGCTCTTATCACTCCGCCGCGGTTGCAGTATAATCATTTTTTTATAAAGTTATTATTTTTTAGCTTGTAATTAACCATAATTTAAATATACGCTTACAAAAAACAGTTTGCGTCAAAATAAAAAGTCTAAAAGTTTAGTAATAAAGACCGGCAAAGTCGACTTTTTAAGACTCGAATTAAAATGAAAGACATATTTAGATCAAATGCATATACCGAATTTAACTGAAAGCCGAGTTTCTATTTTAAGGCGAAGTCAACTTCGTCTTTCAGTAAACTTCTTAATCCAAATTTTAATGAACATTCGCTGGTACTTGTTTGCGACTTATTAAAAAATAAATGGAAATTAAATTTTGTTGGCAATTTAAAAAAATTCTAACAAAATGCTATTTTATCTGCTCAAGTAACTAATTATATTTTATTTGATTGGACCAGCCCAAAACACGGGTTTGAACATTAGAGAACTTCACGAGTTTCCATGTTGAAAAATCTTGATCGTTAACAACACTCACATTTGTCTTCGACAAATGTCAAAGAACTAAAAGTTTTACAACATAACAAAATGTAGACAAAGTTCCAGACGAACTCCAAAAAAACAACAACAACTTAGCATTGTTCCATGCAGAACTTAAGTCTAAAAAGTCAATCAGTTTATTTTAAAATCTTAATATTTATAAAACAACCAGTTTTATAAATATTTGTTCCAAACTTATTCCACAACCAGGAGTCTAGTCTATTTTTGAAGGAAAGTACAGTGGAGTACAAAGTTATTTGCTCTGGTAGTTCGTTCCAGTATTTTGCTGATCTATTATACAAATGATTATATCTTGGAAGACAGTTTGGAACATACTCACGCCTTATTTTAGAATGGTGACCACGAGACATGGAGTTAATATATTTTGGTAGATATTTATCATTTTATATATCAAAACGATGTATTAATTTAAAAATTTGGATTAAATCGCATCGAAGGCGTCGAAACTCAAGTGATGGTAGATTTAATCTTTTTAGCCTTTCGCAGTATTGAAGATGCCTCAAGCTGTAAGCCCATTTTGTTGTTTTGCGTTGAACAGATTCAACCAAAGCCATATCAGCTTTTAAATAAGGAGCCCAAATGGACACTCCATATTTAAGATGTGGACTTATAAATACTTTATATAATTTGAAAGCCATTTTTTCATCAATGAAAGTGAATGTTTTCAGCATACCGAGAACTTGTTAGGACTTACAGACAGCTGTTTGAATATGAGCGCTCCACTTGGGGTTAGATGTAAAAATGACTCCTAAATCACGTTCTTTAGTAGAGCTTCTTAGACATTGGTTGATTCCTTGGTTATTTTGCAAAAAGTAATTGTAATGGGGGTTGTTTCGACCGTAATGAATGACGCAGCATTTTGAGGTGTTTAACTTAAGTAACCAAGTGTTTGACCACTTGTATACCAAGCGTAGACGATCCTGCAGATCAACAAAGTTAGATTGCGATAAGGTTTTAGAAAAAAGTTTAGTATCATCGGCAAATATCTCAGAAGTTTCAGTGAGTTTTGCAAGATCATTTGTGTAGAGAATGAAGAGGAGCGGGCTGAAAACAGAACCTTGAGGAACACCACTGAGAACATCAACCCATGCAGAGTTAGTATTGTTAATTGTAACGCGTTGCTTTCTGCCCACTAAAAAGGATTTAATCCATTGTAGGAGTTTGTCGTTTATTCCGAAAGATCTAAAGTTTAACAAAAGTCTGTTGCGAGGTACAGAATCAAACGCTTTTGCAAAGTCAAGATAGATTACATCAATAAATTGGTGGGATGCTATGGAGGACAAAATGATATGAAAAGTTTCTATTAGGTTAGTTACGCATAATTTATGATAAAGGAAGCCATGTTGATTTGCAGAGAGCATTTTATTACCGTTAATGTGCTTTAAAATTTTGTTCTTTACAAGTTTTTCGAAGGTTTTACAGGCAACAGATGTTAGTGAAATAGGTCTATAGTTTTCAGCAAGTAATTTATCTCCCTTTTTTTTATAGATCGGACTAATATTTGCTAATTTCCATTGACTGGGTACTACTCCAGAATTAAAGGATTCATGAAAGATTTTTGTTAATGGAATTGCAAAGCTTTTGGCACATATCTTGAGTATTAAGGGATGCAGGCCGTCAAATCCGAAGGTTTTATAAGGGTTTAGATCGGCAAGTTCCTGAATAATATCTGGGATAAAGAAATCCAAGTTTTCATTATAAATGCATTCAGAATAAATACCACTTTTATTTAGCAAAGGAAAATTTTCAGAGCTTTCAAGTGTAAGCATAGATTCAAATTGAGAGTTCAGAAGATCAACTATATCAGGAAGAGCTTCAATAATTCTGCCAGAAGTATCTTTGAGAGAACGAATTCGATCTTTAATTTTTAGTTGTTTGTTGATATATTTGTAAACGAGTTTTGGGTTGTTTTAGGATTTTGATATTATTTCTTTTTCGTGTGCTTTTTTTGCTTTAAATATTTCAGCTTTTACTGAACGATTAAGTCGATTGTATTTTATTTTAAGCTCACTATTCTCCCATTCGGTAGAGCAGTTAATATGCCAAGCGGATTTTTTTGCTCGGATCAGGTTTTTAATATGTGGGGTAACCCAAGGATCATACTTTTTTTTGTTTTATTAATCTTGGAAATAAAGTATGTGCAAGCAGTGCGATAGTTAGAAATTAGTATATTGAACATTTGATCTGCAGTTTTGATCTGCAGAAATAAAAACTCCCGGTCGATTGATGCAATAAAGTTAGATATTGAATCGTAATCACCTTTTTTGTAATTTAACGATTGAGATTCACTTTCGGTGAACAGTTCTGAAACTAAGAATCTCCAAGTAATACCCTTAGTGTTATTACCTAGTATAGTACTAGGAGACAAGTTTAAAATAGAATTACTGTTGTATGTAAATAAGAAGTTTAATTAAACAAAAATTAAACAAAAATAACAAGTAGGTAAATAACAAGTAAAAAACAACAAAAAACAATAACAATTATCTTTCTAATTATCATTATTATCTTTCTACTTATCGTTATTATTTTCTAATTATCGTTATCATCTTTCCATTTATCGTTATTATCTTTTTAATTATCTTTATTATCTTTCCACTTATCGTTATTATCTTTCCACTTATCGTAATTGTCTTTCTAATAATTTTTTTAACTTTTTTTGTTCAAAAAAGTTAAGATTTATTAAATATTGTAAAGTGAGACTTGTAGTAGTTCTAAGTTAAAAAAAAAAAATTCTAAATTGAAAAAAAAAATTTATTTAAATTTTATTTACACATGAATGACACAAACGTCTCAAGAAAAAATGAATTTAGAACTCGATAAACTCGATTAATCTAACTCTTTAAAATTCTTTTTCAGATTTTAAGCTGATTAAAAATATTTAAAAAATATTTGCGACTAATTTAAGTTATCGTGTATAAGAAAAAGCTATTGGGTCCCCCTTCACAAACCAACGAAAAAGTAAAAGTGAGTGCCTCAGAAATAAAGGATCCGTGGTTCATTTCCCACTTCTGGGCAAGTTTTGCGACATCGGTTAGGAAGGAGGCGTGAACTTCTAATTAAATGCACATCCGCGGTGCTCTGCGATAAGACCGTAAAGACTTCTTGAGGCACTAAAATAAAATTGAAAACAAAAAAAAGAAAAGGTAAAACAAACTCACATAGCTGAATAAAGAAAAAAACAACTCTGATTGAAAATATCAAAACTATAATTTAAAAATTCATATACAAAAATTTATATTAAAAAGCCAAAATTTAAAGTTTTTAAAAAAAATTTTACAACGTTAAAAATACATAAATATATTTAATATAATAACTTCGAAATTTCAAATAATGAAACTATACTGATAATAACTATATACAATAATGAAAATAATAAACTATTCTGCAGTGTATAATTTTTTTTAAGATTTACATAAAGAAAAAAAATACTGTTATATTCCTTGAATATATGTTAACATATTCCTTTCTTGACATTAATAACTGGTTTCATGTTTAGACAGACGTATCGGCGCAATACACAATCGGAAGAATATGTCATGCCATCTGATCCACAAACAGGGTTAAATTCATCAGCACATGCAAGCGGGCATGCTGCAATGAAAAAATATAATAAAATTTAGTATTTAATTTTTATAAAATTTAGTATTTAATTTTTTTATTTACATTATTATGCTAAGTCTTTTTTTTTTATACAATTATACAATTACGTATAATAATTATACATAACTGTATGATAATTATACAATTACGTATAACATTTAAAAGTAAAAAATAATTAAAGCAAAAAGAAAGTATTTTGAGTGAAGAAATCATTAAATGAGCGATGATATTATTGATAATCATTTAATACCATTAAGCATTTCGACCTAAATCTATTCTTAAATCCCAAGGTAAGCACTGAATAAAAAATCTACTTTTTTCCATAGAGGTTTTTTTCCCAGTTTGAGGGTCGTTACACCACAGGCAGGAAAATTCAGGGTTTTTTTAAAGTCTAAAACTTAATTTAGAGTCTTTCAACTTTTCAACAACTTTGAATTTCTTTAAAAAACAAGAAGATTCTGAGTTTTATTTAACTACATTATTAAACAATTTAAACAACAGGAGATCGATAAAAAAGTTTTAAAAAACTAATAACTTTAAAATTGAATTTGTTTTTGAATTTAACACATGTGCACTACTACGCCACAGCTTTTTCAATGTTTACGTGTAGGGAGATAGTAAAGCTTCATACGTTACTGAAGAGATTAAATTAAATTAGGGTAAAAAGTTAAAGGAATACAACTGGATTCTTTATCAGTATCTACATCAATACCTACAACAATGAATAACTTTTTCCTTACCAATGTCTACAACAATTAAAAACTTTTTTCTGATTTTGTTTTTTTAAGTTTAAAATCAAACAAATACATCAATAATTATTTTTTTATCACGAAAAAGAGATCCATTTTGAAAGTGCTCCCGCCATAAAGTTTTGCATTTGTTTATGCAATTATTTGGAAATTTTTTTTCTAAAAGAAAAAATTAAGAGTTTTTTCCTTTTTTTATTTTAACAATACTTACAACAATTTCCATCCTTTGTATTTTGCAGAATTGAGATAGCTTTCTTTTGCTTGCACGAAGCAACTCTCAATAGACACTCATTTGAGTATAAATTCCCGTCACTGCCACACACTGGAGCATACATTTTATTGCAAGGAAAATTGCATTTATCTTAAAAAGAAGAAGTTTTTAATTAATTGTTCCAAAAGTTAAAAAAAAAAAAACTAAAAAATGTGTGTATATATATATATATATATATATATATATATATATAAATTATTACACCTTCAACACTGCATGCACCCTCGTGAACTTTTTTGATTGACACCCGTTTAATACAAGACGCGACCAATAATTCACATTCGTTGCTGTATGTTTTCCCATCACTAGCACACAGTGGTTGCACAATGTGAAGACAAACCATATTGCATTTTGGTTCTAGAAATAAAAAAAAACTAACTAATAACAAAAAAAATTATTTGTTATTTTAAAATAAATTATAGAAATAGTAAAATTGCTAAAAATATTACCAAAAAATGAAAATATTGCTCAAACAAAAAATAAAAAATATTACACAAACGTGAAAATAATAGAACAAATATAAAAGTTTAATTTTAAATAAACCTGCAAAGTCAGTAGCTATAAAAATGACAACAAAAGATAAAAACTTCATATTTTGTGTGATCCAGTTACCTTTCAAAAAATTATATTATTAATTTTCTATTATTGCAAATAATATTAATAAAAAAAATCATAAATAGCTATGTTTCTTTTTTTTTATAAGATGACATATTGTCTAAACAAACAGTTATAAATTTCATTAAAGGATGCGTACAATGTTGTCTTTATAAGATGATATTGTTTAAACAAATTTGATAAACAATATTGTCTAAACAAATTTGATAAAAACGGTATTAACTAAAATGGTCGTAAACACACTGTATTATATGCACAAAAATAAATAAACTGATCCCTAGTATTATTTATTATTACTTATCAGTAAACATAAAAAATAAAGTTAATAATCGTAACTCAAGGTTTAATGTTTACAGTTCACAGCTACAGTTACGTTTACTTCTATTATGTTTCCAGTTTATCAACTGAGATGTCGAGGACCATTTGAGAAGATGTTGAGGACCGTATCTTCTTAAGATCAAGATAATTTAACCTATTGATTTTTTTTTTTTGAAGAACTTATTCTAAGAATCCATTTTTAAGTTCTTTTATTTTGATGTCATCAATTACACTTAATTCATCTTATTCTAAGCCGATGAATTAAAAATTTCATTTTCTTTTAACCGGCAAAACATGCCGTGTATATTTCATCCACCTGCCTGAGCAAAATGAAATAAAACTCATTTACTGCAATTTTATCTAAAAATTACTGTGAAATATATGTAACATCTTTAATATGCTTTTATTGAAGCGTTAAGTTACATTTCTATCCGAAGGTGTCCATTTCTTTTGATATAATGATTGAAAAGTAATTCATTTTTTCTTCATTTTACTTATAATATTTAATATTTATTTAAATTTATTTACTTTTGTGATATAATATTTATTTGTAAAAATAATATTTCAATATTTGTCTTTATTCGCGCGTATATTATCAACCCTTCGTGCGTATATTAGACTTCGTGCGTAAATCAGATATCGTGCGTAAATTAAACGCATCCAAAAGTATTGTAATCAAAATAAATATTGTCATCTTTCCCAGCTTTGCTCAAAATATTTTTCGACCTTTTTTTGACATAAGATCAAGATATATAAAACCAAAATAATTAAAACTTTAAACAAATAATTTTAATTAAATAAAAACATTCCTAATAAATTTAAAATATTGCAAATTTAATTATAAATTTAAAATAAGTTACATTAAAAACTATTTTAAAAGCTTAAAAATATTTTAAATGTTTAAACTATAGAAGGAAAAAAAAATGACAACAACGTTTTTATTATTAAATGACAACAACGTTTTTATTATATTGATACGAGTATGTAAAAAAATAAAAAATGTTTTTAGAACATTTTTTTTACTTTTGTAAAAAAATAGTTTATGTTTTTAGAACATTTTTTTAACTTTTGTAAAAACGGGGCAAATATTCACACAAAAACTTAAGAAAAAAAAAAATTAAAAAATGATGAAATGAAACTGTTTTCATAGTTTGTATTTTAAAATATCAATTTTTAAATTTTATTTACAAAAAGTACGATAGTAGGATAGTATGATACGTGTTCGAGTACAAAGTACGATAGTAGAACACGTATGATACGTGTTCGAGTACAAAGTACGATAGTAGGATAGTATGATACGTGTTCGAGTACAAAGTACGATAGTAGGATAGTATGATACGTGTTCGAGTACAAAGTACGATAGTAGGATAGTATGATACGTGTTCGAGTACAAAGTACGATAGTAGGATAGTATGATACGTGTTCGAGTACAAAGTACGATAGTAGGATAGTATGATACGTGTTCGAGTACAAAGTACGATAGTAGGATAGTATGATACGTGTTCGAGTACAAAGTACGATAGTAGGATAGTATGATACGTGTTCGAGTACAAAGTACGATAGTAGGATAGTATGATACGTGTTCGAGTACAAAGTACGATAGTAGGATAGTATGATACGTGTTCGAGTACAAAGTACGATAGTAGGATAGTATGATACGTGTTCGAGTACAAAGTACGATAGTAGGATAGTATGATACGTGTTCCCTATATTCACTTGGTGGAAAAATGAGAAGTTACCTACTTTTTGCATCTTTTTTTTTGCCGCATCGAGTTGCGGCTGTTTTTGTTCGTTAAACATGTTTTCATATTTTATTGTGATTTTGATAGACACGTTAGGTTTGTAATAATATATTTAGCGTTTATTCCTGTCATTTACTATATGACCTTATTAATACAAGAAACAATATGGTCGTTATGCGAGTAATAGAAGTATATTTATTTGGTTAATAACTTCTACACTCAAATGAGAACATTGTCGAAATAATTTTGAAATAGAGTCGCTAACATTTGTAATAAATTATAGAAACTTCAAATACTTACTATAAAAAGATAATTGTATTGAGTTTTTAAAATCCTTATCAAGCAAAATAAACTTTTCTCCTATATATTCTCACTCCTGAACACACCTTTTTTATGGCTTAAAATTTTTTAATTACCTCAGCTTTATAACTGCTATAGTTTAATTTACAAAAAGTAGTTTTAAGAAGTTTTTAATCATTAAATTGATATTATGAAGTTTTTAATCATTAAATTTTTATTAAGAAGTTTTTAATCATTAAACTTATATGCTACAAAAAAGTATAAAGCGTTACACAAAAATCTTAACAAAAAAAAAATAATAATAATAAAACTATGAATGCTATTTATAAACCTCTGTACATGACTAAATTTGTAGCATGTTTAACACTTTATATAAATTAATAAACTGACAAATTAATTAGATAATTAGCTTTAATTATTTTCATTGTAACAAGGTAATACTTTTTTTCTCTTGAGTATATTTATGTGTATTCTCAGGAGACAAAAATAGCTATAAAAAAGTATAGTTTTTAATAAAGTTAACTTCACTTTAGTTTAAGATATTTTTACGAGAAAACTGACAACTTATTTTTTTTTTAGGCGGTAAAATTATTTTATCAAATAAAACTGAAAAATTAAATTCAATAAGGATATTTAATATTTTGTATATATATAATTTGTTTTGAACACTTTTTTAAAAAAGAGGTTATTAATTATTATAATATAAATTTTTAAACTTATTTTACTTTCTAAAAGACATTTTTACAAAATTACACAAAATTACATTTATATATTAAATACCTTTAGAAGTTTATTTTACTTTCTAGAAGACGAAATGTTGCGTTTATCATTGCTTTTGATAATGGTCACTTCTTTGCTTGCAGGTGTTAATTTGAATATACTTATCAAATAAAGTTAAATTATTTTTTAATGTTACAAGTTCATACCATATTTTATATTAATACATAAAAAAAAAAAAAAACAGTTGGAGCAAGGTGGTGTGCAATCGGAGGTGTGCATGGCACCTAAAAAGTAGTTTAATTAGTTTTTTAGATTATTTAATCGTTTTAAAAAGTTTGTAAGATTATTTAATCGAGACTTATTTTTCTAAAATGGTATGTATGGATGAGACAAAATAAAATAGTATCTATAAGACAAAAAAACCTCTGAGAGTATTACTAATTAAGGAAAAAATAACATAAAATACTTAATAAGTCTTTATTTTAACATTTAGATGAAGATTGCAATAGGGTATGTTTTTCTGTATATCTACCAGTCTGTGGTAGCGATGGTAACACATATAGCAATGAATGTTTAATGTCGATCGCATCATGCATTAAACGACAAACAATTACAAAAGTTAGCGAGGGTGAATGTAATGACCCAGGTTTGTTTTTTAATTTTTTAATTTTACTGATAGAGAGGTAGGGGTGGGAGAAAGATGAATGTAAAACTATATCATGCACGCAGAAAAAAACCGTGAAAAAAAAATTCACAACGATGTTTGCAATATTCAAGGTTATAATTTTGTTGTTATATTTTTTATAACTTTATAAGTTATTTTTTTAATCTATCTACTATGTTTGTTTTTTTTAACTAGAAGCAAACTGTAAAAAGGTATGCCCAAAAATGTTTCAACCAGTGTGTGGCAGTGATGGTAATACATACAGTAGTAAATGTGAATTATCGGTTATGTCCTGCAAAAAAAATTGGACTATTACAAAACTCTACGACGGTGAATGCAGGCTTCAAGGTTTATTTCTTAATTATTATGATATTTTAAATTATAATTATAACAAAAATAAAAAATAAAAAATGCAAAAGAGGTATGAAGGAGATTAAACAGTTAAATTTATTTTTTAATATTAGAACTAAATTGTAATATGGCGTGTCCTCAAGTGATAGACCCAATATGTGGTAGCGATGGCCAAACCTACAACAATAAATGTGAATTATTAATCGCAGCATGCTTAAAACAACAAGCTATTATTAAAGTTTATGATGGAGGATGCAACAATGAAGGTTTAAATTTGATTTCAATTAATTAATACTTTTGGATTTAAAGACTTCTTAATAAGAGTTTTTTTTTTAAGGAAAGTGTAAAAATATTCCTTGTAATCGAATAAACGCACCAGTGTGTGGTAGTGATGGAAATATATACTCAAATGAGTGTCTTTTGAGAACTGCTTCATGCAAACAAAAGAAAGCTATTACATTAATACGAAATACCAATGACAAAAGTTGTTGTAAGTATAATATTTTGTTCAAACTATATTTAACAAAGTAAATTTTTAAATATAGTTTGTTCGCACTTAAATTAGAGAGGGGATAAGCTACTTTGTCTACAGACAAAATGTAGAAAATTTATGAACAATTCACAATTTTCTATGGAAAGTTAATATTTTTTGCCTCCTTTTGTTTCTATCGAAAGTTAATATTTTTTGCCCCTTTTCGTTTCTATCGAAAGTTAATATTTTTTTGCCCCTTTTCGTTTCTATCGAAAGTTAATATTTTTTGCCCCCTGATACTCCTAAATTAAGATTTTATGTTATTTTGTATGTTTATATAATTTCAATTTATCAAAAACACAAAACACAATGTGCTAACTTCAGCGTTGTTTTGGTCAAGATGATTATCAATGTTTTAATTAATGTTTATTTTTCACTGTAGCATGTCTCTTTCTTTCACTGTAGCATGTCTCTTTGAATGCACAAAAGAATATAATCCTGTATGTGGATCAAACAGAATAACGTATTCTTCAGAATGTGTAATGCGTCGGTACAGCTGTTTAACTAAAAAAGCTATTATTGCTATCAGAAAAGGAATATGTAAACTTCCAAGAAAAACAAACGAGGATATTTTTTTGTCCAGCGAAACAGAAATATTTTGAAAAAGTTATGTTAAAATAGTCTAACAAGAACATGTGCGAAAAGTTAATTTTAGTTTTTTTTCTTGCAACTCTTCAAATTTTCTTGACATCTTAAAAACAAATATTACGTTTTGAAAACTACCCGACAAGGAAGCTATATGTGGCCCACATGTGTCCATAGTGCTTATTAGTGGGATAAAAGTGTAAAACTATATTTCAGTTTATGATTGATATATATGTTGATGATTAGTGTGGCCCACATGTGGAACACATAATGCATCCACATAACTATTCCACTTAGTGTGGTATAATCCTTAAATAAATACGTGCTAAATTAGGTGTGGCTATCATACGGGCCTTACATATAAAACACACAATCTTGCCTCATTTTGAATTTTAAATTTTTACCAATTGTAAACTATGATATCATAATATCATGTGGTTTACAGTTTTGAAATTTTTCAATTCATAGTTGTAAGTATGTTTGAGCAGTTTTTGTAATTTATTTGAGAGCTGTCATTCAAAATGAACTTTCAATAAAATTAGTAAATCAGAATTAAACTTAACGTATAAAAATTTGTTGTTATACTTAAAAATTTGTTGTTATACTTAACAAATAAAAGTGTTATACTTAACGTATTATACTTAAGTTATACTTAATCTAATCAGAGTTATACTTAACGAAAAAACTTAACGAAAAAAAAAAGTAACGAAAAAAAATTGTAATTAGAGTTGTACTAAACGAAGATAAAAATATCTTAATACTTTGTATTTGCTACCAGAAAACGACGTTAGATTTTAAAATGGCGGCAATGTAAGCAAGCATCCGTTATTATTGATTTTTTCTCTCGATTTTTTTTGTACATGGATTTAATACGAAACGATCTTCACCTACTGTTCAAAGACATAATCAGAATGCTAGATAAAGAATTTGAAGAAAATATTGCGCCTTCATTGCATAATTCATTAGATTAGTTTTGGGTACAGAACTAATACAGAATGAATTATTTAAATTTAATGAAAAGTTGTTATACGTATTTATTTATTTGTGAATAAAACTATAAAATCAAAAAGTATGATGTTTTTCCATTTAGGTTTTTTAACTGGTATTCCTATACAAATAAGTTTACATACAGTATGATGCTTTTTTGTATAGGTATATATGTATAATTATTTGAATATTCTACGCATAAACAAATCTAATGAGTTGTTTAAAATTGATATTTAAACAAAACAGAAGATTTTTTTTTGTATTTGTTATAACTTTCTTGTGAAAAAATAATACGGCTTTTGTTCTTATTTAGTGTGGTTTCAATGGGATAGACATTATAGCCACATATGGAACGCACCAACGCCATCCCATAAAGGAGAGTAGTAAATATATGGCTAAAATATGTTTACCACACGTGAGTCACATGATACTTTTACGCAAAAATAAAGTGGCTTTCGTTCTTATTTAGTGTTGTTTTAATGGGATAAAATTATAGCCACATATGGAACGCACCAAAACCATCCCATAAAGGAGAGTGGTAAATATATGGTTAACATGCAATTGCCATATATGGCCCACAAGAAAATTTCTTGTTAATTCTATTGGCAGTGTTGTAAATGAGATACCTAATATATCCTATGGAAAAATAAACAATATATAAGACCAAAGACAAATATAATATTTTATGATTGAGCCCTTATATCTTTATGTATACAGCAAAGTATGAATAGAAATTCTATAGAATTTCTATAAAGCTTATAGAAATTCTATAGAATTTCTATAAGCTTTATGTTTCAAAAGTCTTTAGAAATTCTATAGAAATTTTTTTCCTTCTATAGAAATTTTATACAAGCGTTATGTCCATGGCAATTTACACTTGAGTATATATTGCCAATCGTTATGTTTGTATGTCAATATTATGTTTAATAATAAAAATGAGTAAAGTTTAGTATTAGTTACGGTTTATAATTTATAATTTAGTATTAGTAAGGGTTGCTATACATCCTCTTTCCCGGATCCCTTTTTTTTAACAAGTTATCTGTCCGAAGAATTTTCCCCAATGTTTTTACCTGAAACTCAACCAAAACGTTTTTTGTACAAACAAAGCTTTGGTGTACATCGATGCATTCGAACATGTCCAGCGTTATCAAAGTTTGTAATAAATAATGTGTCTTTACGCAGAGGGAGGAGGAGGTGGCTACAATTCCGAAAAAGGGACGGGGAGTATAAGTCAGAGGTTTTATTGCGTACGTACTTTATGGATGGCCTTTTTTAGTGACTTTATATCTAAAGCATTAAAAAGCATTAAATACATTGACGTTATTTCTTGATTTAGGTTGTTTTTAATATCATATTAACACTTCTATCAACACGTTTTTTTTTGGAAACTGATGGTGCTGTATAACTTTTGCAAGTTGAACTATAGGACTTTAAAATTTGAACTGAAGAATCGAATGTCACATTAGTATAGTTCCATTCTTTACCTTTACCAATTCGGAAGTATTTTTCTTAAGAGCCATTGTCTCTTTTTAACTATTTTTCTCTGATCTCATGATAACGTGGAGATTTGTACCAAATCTCCACGTTATCATGAGGTCAGAGAAAAACTGAAATAAATGATAACTGTTTATTTTGGGAATCAGATTTGGTCCTGATAAAGTAGAAGCTTTGGAGTCTATTGTAATTTTAGCAACATCAGCTTTTTGAATTCCTTTGGCATTATAAAGAGCCTCATAAATATCTTCTACAATCAACAAATTTTTTCCAGCCTAATTAAAACTTCTTATGACATATTTCGCTCGCGCTGACTCTCTGTCACATTGATCTTTTTCGCGTAAAAATTCTGCATGAATTAAATTCCATTTAAATCATGTAGAAGATCTTCATCTTTACTTTCTATACCTAACTCATGAACCTGGTTGATTGCTGAAATGAGGTTTGCACAGTAAATACATTGTTCATCGTCAGCACCTATAGTGGGTTGTTTTAAGCCTGGATCTATATCTGAAAAGGAAAAAAAAGTAGAGGGACTATTCAAAGTGGAATTTTCACTACATTTGAAAGGATAATTACTCTTCAGACTTCCAATTTTCAGAAATAGCAATCAAAGTTTAAAACTTATCCATGCTAGCTGCCGTGACATCATCAAGACCAGCCAAAGCTTTCCTTTGAGTAGGTTTTATTCCAAGAAGAGTTCTCCATAAAGAAATAATTGACATAGATAATTAGTTTCTTGGCAAATTTCTTTATAAAATGTGATTGTATGGCTAAACTTCATCATTAAAATGGCATTAACCACTTTTTGTTCCTCTCCATTGTCAAACTTTATTTTATTTACACCATAAGCTACATCTTGCAGCAAACCTCGACAAAACATAAATTCCAAAAAATGTTCTATTTTTTCCTGTGGCATTTGGCATATGTTTACCTTTTCCTTTTTTGGTATGAAAAATCTTCTGCTTTCTTTTTGCAACTTGCGTGCTTTTTCTATTTAATGTTTTTTGCAATGAAAGATTTTAATTTATGTTTCTTTAGTGTAATTGTTATGATTAATAACTGAAAGCAAAAGAATTCGAACTAAAGAATCGCTTACTTGAAACAACTTAACTGGTATAACAAGGTCATCTAGAACCAGTTGAGTTGAAGCATCTTCTTTGTGTAACACTTGAGAAATTAGTACCTCTGATTGACGAGGTTCAATTGCTTCAGCAAATATTTTCTCAAGCTGCATTTAAAATATTTCAAATTTCTTCTTAACTTTCTGTTTGGCTCCTGGGGTTAAGTCTTCTATTCGCTTTAGCTTTATCTGAGGGATATTGGAATTGGTCCAAATGCTTCACACAAAGAACTAGCTGCTTTTTTTGATTCTACAATAGTTTCATCTGAAATTATTGTTGTATCTGAAACATATATTTCATCAGCAGGAAAGCCAGAATTTATTGGTGTTGGAACAGGCTCTAACATGCCAATACTGTTATCTGAAGAAATGCTTATTAGGTTGCTGAAACAAAATACGGCTCCAACAGGAAGTGGTAAATTCTTTTCATTATAAGCAGCAAGGGGATGGATCTAATTTTTGGTGCTCTTTTACCAATTTAAAATTCATGTCTTCGGTATTGACAACTGTTCAGCTACTTTCAGCCATGATCCAAAGAAAAACGGTGGTATGCACATAATGAGTCGTAGCATGTAAGATAAGTTTGTGATCGGCTTTCAATCAGGGTTTATTTATTCGACTGGTTTGTCGGTGGTAACTATAAAACAGTAATGTTACATTTTCAATGTTTGGAGTAAGAAATCCTGTTTTTTTTAATAAAAAAGAAAAATTATTATTGCGTGTTCAGTTGAATTAACGCCATTTAAAGATTTAAGATATAATTGAAATGAGTTGGGTGTGGTTATAATTTTTTTATGAGGTTCGGGTCAATATTTGTAAAGTATTTGTTTAACTCATTCGAGATATTTAAAAGACAATAAATATCAGTTTTATTGATATTTATTTTTTAAGGCAGTATTTTTTTTATTTAAAAAATACAAATAACTTTAATAACTTAAAAAAAAAGCTTATTTATTGCGATATTCACTTAAAAATCTCATGCTTGACTTGTTAAAGCAGATGTGGGCAACATCCGGCTCGCTGCGAGTTTTAATCCAGCCTGAGAAACATTTTGAAAAACTTAAACATTTTGAAAAACTTTTTTGTTTCTGCACAGTACTTAACTTAGGGTTAAGTACTATGCAAAAACAAAATTTTGGTGCATCTCGAGGTCGGAATTTAATGTGGTTGCTATTTATAAATACAGTAGTTTTAAGCACTTTGAATTTCTTGATGTTAAATAAAGCGTGTTAAAAACGTATTTAATTAAAAAGTTAATTTGTTTAGCTTTCTATCGATATAGTTTGTTATACTTACAAAGAGATTTGAGTTCCAGTTACTTTGCATTGTTATCAATAAATTGTATTACAATAGCTATGTCTTATTATTTTATGTCTGATATATATCGTTAAAAATTATGACTTAGGGGAAAGGTGCCTATGATGGCATAGCGCTTATAATGGCATACTGGTCATATTTCC